GAAGTGCAGATTTCGTAGCAGGCGCAATACGTTGTGACCTTGAAGTGCAGATTTCGTGGCCAGCACAGTACTTTGTGGACCTTGAAGTGCAAGTTTCGTGGCAGGCACAGTTTTTTGTGGACCTTGAAGTGCAGATGTCGCGGCCGGTTTAATAAGTTCAATACTTTGTGGACCTTGACGTGCAAATTTCATGGCAGGTGCCGTGCATTGTGGACATTGAAATGCAGATTTCGTAGTAGCTCTGGACACAGTGCGTCTAGATCCCTAGATTTTCCCCCCGCGCTTCCGTTCATATGTTTCCTCTATCGCTTCTCTGCTTGCGCCTACGCACCAGCTCTGCATTTCTTGCACGGCTGTCACCAAGTTCCTTTTGTTCTCGTGAAGGCAGAATTGCTTAGAACCTGGCTATCCAATGGAGCATTTTCTTCCTTGCTCTTTTTGGCCTCGCCTGTATTTGCTTTGTTCGTTGGCATTTATCTGCATCGATGCTTGCCTGGTGAGTTTTCTCTGGTTACCTGCACTTTGTTTTCTTTCGGACGCTTTCTCTTTTGACATCCAGCCTCCACACTGTTTGGGGTCCCTTGCCGGTGCAATATTTTTTGAGATCCAGATGGGGTATCTTCAAGCCATCTGAAAAAATGCAGAAGTTCTGTCGCAAATTCGAGGCAATCCACGAAGATCAGTTGATGCAAAACGTGATGTTTGCAGCCAGAATGCAACGATCTGTGGATTTCCAAAAGCAAAACTCCTCAGAACGCAAGCTGTGGCACCCAGACATTTGGCGCGGCCGTATAAGCACGGCTGGGACGAAAAGACTCTGACGATGTCAACCGAAGTGCAGTTTGTTTGGCCTAAACCCCATTGATGATGATCGTTTTCAAAGGCATCCGGCCTGTCATTGGAAGTGGTGCCCTGAGCAAAGCATGCATAGGCTGCACTTTTCCAACTGAGATGCCTCATGGCTGTCTCAGTTATCTCCCCATTCCTTGTTGAGACAGCAGCCCCCATCCAACATGAAATGTTCATGGTTCCTTTGGAAACTGAGGGGTGCTCCTTAAGATACTTTTGGGATCCGGCGTCCCTACCCCTGTAGGGTGCTGTCGATGCCAAGCTTTAGGCTCAAGCCGCCCAAAGTTTTGCGGCAATTTTGACTCCATGGCTCGGCAAAGAGTTTGGCAATCCAAGGGGTTTTACGTTGGGGGCAGCCATGCGGCAACGGAGTAAACAGGCGGTTAAAGTTTAATATGGGAATCTTGGTCGGAAGATTGAAATGGTCTGGGGTGCTGCCCAGTTTGCCTTGCCAGAAAGTTCATTGAAATCCAACAATTGCGGTCAACACTGTGCCTGTCAAAATTTAGGCCACTCCGTGCGAACTGGAGTCTAATTTGGAATGGATGTAGACAAATTTGGAATGTAGAGAATGTTGGAATGAGATGTATTCCATGCTGCATCCCCTCAGGTCGGTTTCTTTTTTGTGACATACGCTGCGCTGCCCTCAGTTGTCGGTAAGTAACCATTTATTGTTGATTGCTGGTTTGGTTTCTTTTGTCTACTTCAGGCCCTGCTGGCCTTATGTTCCATGACAGGCCCTGTCTTTTTCCGAGAACTCTTGGGATCATGTGCACGATGGACCTGCGCATCCATTGGTACAACCACAAACTGCTTGTTTTTGAACACTTTTCTTGTCGCAGTTGACTTTGGAAGGTGCCCCAGTGTTGCTTGGTCGCATGTAGTGTCAGGTCACAGATTCCTGCGCCGAATTGCTGAAATTGAATTGTCGCAAACGTTGCAAACCCAAATAGCAATGGCCTCCAACCTAGCGCACCATCCAACTCCAGATACGGATGGCGTTCCCTCTGAGGTTCCTTGGTCTAAGCGCTGCTCGGAGCAGCAAGGCCGATGAGGGCGTTTGCGGTGTTCGTCATGATGTGTGACGTGTGTTTGGGTGGGCCCTTTGGGCGCTTAGGCTTCTTGATTTGTGAATCCGCCAAATCATGAAGGCTATATTGTGAATTTGGAAACCTTCTAGTTGTGCTTGCCAAAATACGCGTGAGTGTGAGTGTGCATTGGTGAGGCTAGCTTGCTCGCATTGAAGGCAGGGGCTAGTGTTAATTCGTGTGAAGGTTCTATCGATCTGGATGCCTGATGCTGCTGGTCTGCTGCTTTGTGCTTGATGCCTGCAGGCGGATGCCAAAGACAAGGCAGCAATCTTTGACATTTTTTTTGCTCTTAGGTTGGAGGCCATCGCAAGTGCGTTGAAGGCGATCGCAAGTAGGTTGGAGGCCATCGCAAGTAGGTTGGAGACCATGGCAAGTAGGTTGGAGGCCATCGCAAGTAGGTTGGAGGCCATCGCCATTTTGACTTACTTCTGTTTGTGTGCCAGACCAAAGCTCCGAAGAAGTTGGATGATGATGATGAACTCTTGTACTCGGAAGAAGACGAGGCCATGTGTTTTTTCAAGAACAGGCACATTTTTTTTGACAAAAAGCAGTATTATTGCAACTTACAACAGATCCATTTGATAGAATAGATCCCATCTTGACAGAGGCTACACTGTATACGGTTGGATGCATTCAATGACTTCGACATGGATAAGATTTCCCCGTCATCACTGTTTGAAATTGGCTCAGTACGGTGACGAGTTCGATGAGGACGAGGACTTCATGGAGTTAGATGGGCTCTGACCCAAAAGAGATCAAGATATATAAGAACCAAAGCAGAAAACGATGAGCGACAAGGATCTGGAGCAAGGCTTGATGCTTTCGATGAAACTCTCAGGCCTCCACCAGAGGTCCTGGACGGCTGGGAGAAGGCGCGACTTCGGCGCGACTTCAGTCGATCCAAGTCATTCGGTAGGTCGGAATACAAGACAGAAGTCATGAAACGCCAAAAGATGGGATATTTTTGGAAGAGACAGTCATAGAAGAGACAGCCTCGAGACCAGAGTTTTAGAGCCAGAACATGGATTTTGAGATCACCCAATGACAGTTCTTTGGTTACACGATACGTGGAGCACATTTGCGTGGCATTCTGTTTGTAGCTCATGTCAGGACGAGATAGCAATGGCCCTGTTGGCAAACTTCCAATCGGAGGAGTTTGAGGGCAAGGCCATCTAACAAGCTCGAAATCCTTCGAGCAGGGAGCGAACTAGACCTGTTTTGGTTTCAGTTTCGACTTTTGTTCGGTTTCGAGCCAAGCTCTGTTGCCCGGCACTGTCGTTCAAGCCCTTGCGCAGAAAATCATGAGCTTTCGTGACGTGGCACAGTTGTTGGAAGTGCTAGGCCACTTGGAGCGGTCATAAGTGCTTGGCGTTCAGTTGGGTGGCATTCTGGAAGAAGAAATCTCAGAGCCAAGAGTTTCCCTCACATTCCAGGAGTGCACATGACATGATTTCGTCAGGTCTTGAACGAGAATCGTTTGTCAGCATCTTCACCGGACAGGCGATCCCCTTTCATGTGGCGTCTGGTTTTCAGACATAGAACAAGGAGCTGGCACGGCAAACGGGCGTGCACAAACGACGAGAAGGAGCCAGCTTTTAATCTTTTTGAGGCAGAGGACGAGGAAGACTTTGACTTTGAGGATGACTTCCTCGATGAAGAGGAGGCAGTTTGAACAAAGTCGTTGTCAACAAAACAGATGCGAACAGGTGTTGTTTTGACCGTCCAAAGGTTGTAAAATCACAAGTAGCCTTAGCCTTTTCTCTGTTTGGTTGATACCTTCACCTTCCATTTACTCGACACATCCCACATCATCCCACCACACCGGGTCTCTTCTTCCACCATCTAGGGATGCTCGCAGAGCACCTCCCAAAAGTTGAGGGCTGTCTTTCCAGTTTCTGCCAAGCTCAGCGGGCCCGCTTTCGTCAGTATGCCCCTCGCGGCCGTGGTGGTGGTCGTGGCGGTGGCGGCCGTGGTGGCGGCGGTGGCCGCGGCCGCGGCGGCGGCGGTCAGGGACGAGGAGGCTGAGGGCCGGGGGTTATGTGAAGAATTGAGAATTCTACACTTGATTTCAGGAACTGAACGTAGTTGGCGAAATGGCAATCAAGCTCTGCCTATCCCAGACATTTTTGTAAGTGATGAAGACTCATTGGGATGAGACGTATCATTTGGAACATCAATTGAACTCTTCTGAGCTTTTTTTCTTTTTGACTTTGATGTGTTCAGCTAGATTTGTTTCGATCTGTGACAGGGCGTGGACGACGGCCTTGAGGCCATCCTTTGTAATTCGTTCGGCACAGCGAAACCGTTGCGCGAGACGAAAGAGACGTGAGACTCAGTCTGAGTCGATGAGTGCAGTTCAGATACAATGAGTAACTCGTGGAAAGCAACCACCTACTCGATACCTCATCAATGCAAATTCGGAATTCTTGCTGCCAAGGGGCGACAGGTTTTGCATTCCTATGGGCAAACCGAGGGCAAATTCTTGCTTCGACAATTTTCCCTTCGATTGGACACACTAGAACGACATGACAAGTTCTTTTATGCCGCTTTTGCGCCGCTCGAAACCGCAGCATGTTTGAGTAATTCAAGATCATGATTTGGCTAGATATTCTTAGTGTGACTTAACTCCATATTCCATTCCTTTAGAGTCAACACTGACAAGTCTTTTCATATGCAGACAAAAATTGTGTTAGTGTATTTGCTTGCGTATCATTTTGCAAAGTTATTTGGACTTCGAGCTGCAAAGCTCTCGCCATGGATCCATGAGGCCGAGTTAAATTGGTTGCAAGCCACAGGATTTTGAAGGTCAAGAGAAGCCTGCATGAAGAATGGATCCAATCTGCAGTTCAGTTTACTCCATCAAACCACAAGACAGGTCCAATCTTTGAAGTTAAGTTTCCCTAAAAATCTAGGAACCAAATTTGTAAGTAGAAGCGGGAACTATTCTGCGTCTAGGTCAGTAGGTTAAGTAGCTAGGAGCGAACAAGTTTGTCACTTATATAAGTAGGCGCCTACTTAGATAAGGGCGGGCAAAAAAAAGAAGCGCTCTGGACAGGTGCAATGTCCGAGGTTAGTCTTCAGGTCTTGTGCTGAGAAGGTCTCCCGTGCATGTCAGTCTTCGGCTATTACCGGACGCCTTTGCACCCTTTTTGAGGTTCACCGCAAACCTTGAAATTGCTAGCTAGTTATTACACATTCGTGCAAATGATCAAAGAGAGCATGACTGAAGCTTTGGGTGATTGACCGTGAGAATGCTGCGGGATTCTAGTAGAACGACGCTCATTCCAACCTCTGGTGGGCTCTTGTAGCTTAGGATGACCCTGTCGTGGAGATCAAAGACCGGTCGCCTTCCGCGACCGCTTTGCTCTCAGTCAAACACCGGCATGGGAAATTAGGACCTCAGGGCAAACTCGCAAAGAAACGAAAAGAGGTTCGTTGATGGAGAGATCTCACCATACGGTCACGCAAGTCCTTCAGCTGGTTAGTCGCACCATAAAGGTCGTCCGACGCATTTCCTTTCATCTTTGCTCCGCCTGTGTCACCTCGTGTGCCACCTCAGGTCAAGGCTGAGAAGCAGTTTGATGACGAGGCAACACTGAGTCACTCCAAGTGTGATATGGCACGGTTCCTGTAGAGTCTGAGCTCTTCTTGGTTTTGATTCGTTGGTTTCAAATGAATTTGCAATGATGCAAGACTTTGCCTCTGTGATGGTCCTTGCGTTTTCTTTTATTTTTCAGGTGCTAACACGGGAGCAGGTCTATGACTTTCTCGTGTCTGAACGAGTGCCAACCTTTGTGAAAGAAGAAAGGGAACATTACTGTATAAGAAATCAAGACTCTCTGAATTGATGCAAATGCACCTAGCTTGACAGGCTTGCTGGCTTGAGTTCAACATGTGTAAATTTTGTCGGTCGCAAGGGTGTTTCCATTGCATGACTTGTTTTTTGGATCTTGGGCTAAAAAGTGTTTCCGGCAATTGTGTGAGGGAAAGCGCAGTGGTGCTACACATTTGATCCATAGCGAATTTGGGTGAGCAAAGACCGATCATTCAGACTACGGGGAATCATATATGATCACATAGATGTGACCCATCATATGTGCAGCCAGGTTCTTCTGAATACACTGGGGACATCGTGACAAATCCCACACGTGCCCAAACCAGTTTTGCTGATTAGGTTTGATCCGATTTCTGGCTGTCAGCCAGCTCCGCTTTAGCTTCAGGATAGAGTTCGCTTCTGTGGAACCTTGCCGCTGACGGTTCTTGCTTCGATCTTACTTACTTGCTGTTGTTTCTTCAGAAAAACACGGCTTTCATGGGAAATCAACACCTTCACTTGTCTGCCACCAAGATTTGGTTCATCTTCACACTCACTGCATGGACCCAGCCTCAGAGTTCATGCGGACTGTCGGAACTGTACCATGTCAAAGAGTGGGTGTTTGTGCGGACCAATAGCCTCATAATTTTCTTTGGATTCTATGTACTTGTTCCTCTCTTTCCACCCATATTGAGTATGCAGTATTTGGCAAGATCGCTTCAAATCAGACTCAGGACTCATGGCAACGTAGAGCGCACGAGCCGAGCACAGAGTGTGATTCGTGAAGCCATCGAGCGGACCGAGGTGCGAGTGAGGGCCGTGCGGAGCCGTGTGGAAAGAGCCATTTTTTTTCACATAAAGCGTGGGACGTGTCGATTTGAAAAAGATAAAAGAACTAGACGGATGGCCTGGCAGCATGGGAGGGAAGGTTATGTAGAAGAAGGTGTGCGTAGTAAGAGATGTATAAGTACAGAGAGTTTTGTACCTGAAATCATGTATGACAAGATGATACAAGTATATCTGCTCGGTATCTAAAGTTGTTGCGGATGTGATGAGACTCGTGGACACCAATCATCCCGCTCCCCGAGACAAACGCGCATCGTGGCGGCGCAAAACCGCATGGCGCAGCGACATCGACGGAATTTGGCCACACAGCGTGCAACAGACTAGATACAACAACACAGCTCCCAGAAGCTTGTACAAGTGTGAAAGTTGAGTTTGCTCTTCGGTGTTGGGCAGGCGGAGGAACATGGTTGTTCATGTTCGCTTGGATCAAGGCCTGAAGCCATTTCGTGCTGCGCCTTAGGTGAAAACGGCGCGCTGGCAGACGCTCTTGCTAGTGCGTCTACAGTGGCACCGGAGCCTATCTCGATCTGGGCATTGCACTCCGCCGTTGCTTGCTTTGCTTCGCCTCGCTTTGCCTCGTTTCTCCTCGTCTTCGTGGCCTTCAAGCTAAGCTTCTGGGCTGCTCCACACGACCTCGAGCCAGACGCTCTGGACTTCGTGGTCGGTGCCAACCTTTTGAGAATAACTAGATTCTCTTGTTTGTGGACACCTTTTTCTTGAACCACTTCACTGTGCCCTTGCCGCCGAGCAGTGCCTTGTTGGAGTGACCTTTGAGGGTACATAGACCCACCTTTTGCTTTGGGCCCTACCATCGTTGCGCAACTTCACTTTCGGTCTAAGACCACCTTTTCTTTGGAGAGCTTCAGAACTTGCGGAGCTCCTTGAACACCTTGCAGCAGCCTCACTTTTGTTTTTGGCCAATTTGGCCGTGAAGATGACTTCAGCAGAAGAATCCGGCACCAGCTCTTGGTACCGGGTGCCGACGTGGTCGGGCAACCCGGCGGAATGGCGACAGTTCCGCCGGGAGATGAACTGGTGGATGGCTTCGCTGGATGAAGAATCCTGCAAGAAGTTCAATGTTGCCGCCCGATGGGCACTTAGACAATATGGTGTGGTCAGGGCTCGTTGTGAAGAATTCGATCCCCAGGATCTTGAAGGGACCAAGGAAGAAGCCATGACCGATCCTGACACCGGCGACAAAGTGATTCGGGTTGCTGCAGACCCTTTTGCAGGCATCAAGAAACTCATGACTGCCTTGGAGGCCACGGTTGGGAAGACAGCTTTGGATAGAAAGGGAGAACTCCGATCCCTTTACTATCAAGAAATCAAACGCAGCCCTGGAGAGAGAATCTCAGCATTTTGCACGAGATTCCGGACCCTTGCAGCTGAGCTCAAGCGGGAAGGCATAGTGATGCCGGAGGAGGAGTTAGGCTGGATGTTGAAAGAACGTTTGGGACTGGATGCAATCAGGAAGCAGTTGCTGGAGACAGCATTGGCAGGTCGGGAGAACTATGATGTGGTCGAATCAGAATGCCTTCGTCTGTTTCGAGATTTGCACTCCTCCGACCCTTTGAACAAGAGCAGACCTTTTGATAAGGCACCACTACTCCAGCGTTTCCTACAGTCCCATGACAGACACAGCTCCTCTTCGTCCTACAGGCCTTCGACTACAGCCAGCTCGACGGCTCCCTCTTCTCGCTCCTTCCGGACTCAGAGCTCTGGTTCCAGCCGGCCACCTTTCAAGCGTTTTGGCCAGCAGCCTCAACCTCGGCAAGCCTTGATTGCCGAGGCCCCTGAAGAGGAAGGCCAGATGGAGGCGGAAGATGAAGAGCTGATTCCAGACGATGATGGTCAGGGTTACTCTCCTGAGAACCTGACGATCGAAGAAGTCCTCCAGACCGAAGCTGAGCTTCTTGCCCAAGAGCTGCAGGAGCTCGAGACTGAAGGTTGCGACCCTCGAGTGCTTGAAGATTTGGAGAGCGGCATGGAACAGGCCGCAGAGAGTCTGTTGACAATGCGTGAAGCGCGCACCAAAATAGCTGAGGTCAAGAAAGACCGTGGATATGGAAAGCCTGGCCAACCGGCTCCTCGTTCGACGAAGCCCCATGGCAATCAAGTCCCTCGCCAAAAGAGCACTACAAAGTGCTTCGATTGTGGTGAGATGGGACACTGGGCTGGTGATGCAGGCTGCAAGGCCCCTGGTGCTGGCCTGGCTCGACCCAAAGGAAAGCCTAAGAGCCAGATGACGAAGCAGGTCCGTGTCACCGAGACCCTGAACACTGAACATGTGGCTCCTGAAGAACCTGATGACATGGGCCACGAGGTCATGACAGTGGCCGCCGGCGATTCATGGGATCGCCCATTGTTCGAAGTCCTCATGCAGCACCATACCGACCCCAAGAACACTCCACGTCTCGCACAAGACAAAAGATTCGTTGGAGCTTTGGATAGTGCTTGCAATAGAACATGTGCAGGTTCCTCATGGTTGGCCTTCTACCTCCAAGCCCTCGAACGTGCTCCTTCCTATATCCAGAACCTCATCATCACCACCCCCGAGAATGAGTTGTTCAGGTTTGGAAATGGTGGTACCCAAAGAAGCACCGTGAGGTACAGACTCCCTATGGCCCTGGGTTCGACCTTGGTTTTGGTGTGGGTGTCAATAGTGCCAGTGCCATCGTTGGGGCTCCTTTTGGGAAGAGACTTTTTGAGCGCTATCGGTGCGGTCCTTTCGTTCGGCCGCAAGCTACTGAGAGCTGACTTGGTGGGTGGCGAACTCTTGGAGTTGGGTCAGCTGGCCGCAGGCCACTTCGCCCTTCCACTCCAGCCTCGTCAATGGCCTCGTCCGGACTCCCAACGCTGGCGGAAACTTGGACAAGACGGCATAGTTGAACTTCAGTTGAACAGTTTTGATTTTTGGAAGAAACAGTTGCAATTGAAGATGAGTCATTTTGAAGTGCCTTTTGAGTCAACCTCCGAAGCACCGCATGAGCACCTTGTGACAGAGCATGCGATCCTTGCTGCGACCTCGGCCGGGGCTCAAGCTATGAAGGTGGCTCAAACACGTCCTTCAGCCCCGACGACATCCTCTTCGACGACCTTTCGAGCCCTCGCAGGATCTGTGGATCGTAATGGAAGCGGCCCAGCACTTCGACCTGACCGAGAACGACTACACGAAGGTGGTGCTGCGCTGGCGGCGAATGCTTCTCCGCCTTCGCGCAAAGGCCGCTTGGCACGCACATGGCTTGCTCTTATGGCTGTTGCCTCGTCCGCAGCTGCGGTACGCGCCCTTTCCGTACCCCAGCATCAGCCATACCAGACATTGGCAAGAACAAGCCGAATCTATGACCCTCCAGAAGCCAAAGGCATTGATGGTCAAGCACTGGCAGCGAGCTCGAACCCAAGAACCGTCAGTGTACACGACCAAGAATCTCCTGGACTTGGGACAATTCAGGAACCGTGCTGGCCTCAACTTCGCCTTCATGGAGGACAACATGTTGCAAGGAATGCTTGCGGCACGCGCCAGCAAAGGCCTGACGGCCCAATTGAAGCGGGATGCCATTCAGGAAGCCCAACTCGAAGCCGAGGCCGCTACCAAGCGTGGAGAGAAGCACGACATGGTGCGCTCCCTCATCGGCCCAAAGGGAGGCCTGCCAACGTTGAAGGCAGATCTGGTGAAACTGGCTTCACTCCTGAACATCCCCGTCCAGACTGGAATGACTGTGGAAGACCTCAAGAAAGCTTGCCGCCCCTTGGTTGCCGAGATTGCTCAAAAGCCGACTCCCTCGAAGGCAAGTGGATCTACCAGTTCAACGGAAAGACATGTCCCCGAGACGTCAATGGCGAGACCTTCTCAAGCACCCGAGACAATTGGCGCAAAGGCCAAGGCATCTCCTGGAGTGACCGCTCAAGAGCTACAGGAAGTCCTCACCACGCAGGACCACAAGTTCCAAGGGATGCTGAACCAAGTGCTACAGAGCATTTCGACCCTGCACCAAGCATCGCACCTGCCAGGACCTATGACTTCCGGTCCGATGGAAACCGAAGCAACCATGGACTTCGGCTGGACCCAAGACGAGATTCAACAGATGAACCGCGACTACTACCAGGACGACTTGGAGTGGCGCCAGGCCAATGGAATTCCTCCTCGCGACCAGTGAGACCGATGCTCGAGCTGGAGACGAATCCTTGGAAGATACATCAGGCGGTGAAACCTGGTCAGGCAAAACTGATTTCGGATGGGAGCGTCATGAAAGAGACCGTCGCCTTGTGTCGCTCAGTGCCAAGGAAGTGAATGAAGTCTATGAGGAGCAGTGGCATCGAGCGATGGACCACTTCCAGAACGAGATCTTTGTCACCACCCTCACCGTTGGCGATGAGAAGTCTTTTCAGTCCCATGCCATGTCTGAGAATAGGTTGATTTCAAAGAACCCCGACCTTGTTGAGAATGACCGCTTCCCCAAGACCTTTGTCACTGAGGTCTACACAAACACAGAGCGAGTTGCGCAGACGGCTCGCAAACGAGGACATCGAGTGGGAGCCTCAATGAGCTTGGAATCAGGATGGAACTTTCTCCGTCCACTGGATCGCAAAGCTGCCAGAGCCGTCCTGAAGCGTGAAAGTCCTTTCTTTTTGGTGCTGGCATTTCCTAGTTCCTTTTGGAGTGTGTTACTCAACCTCAACCCTCCGAAGAATGGCACCAAGATGTATGAGGAAGCGATCACCCTCTTGCAGTTCGCCCTCCAATTGGCCAAGGACCAGAAGAGTCGTGGTTGTCACTTTGTTTTGGAGAACCCTCAATCCTCTAGAGCATGGACCCTGGAAGAGATGCAAAGAGCCTTGGAGCAACTTGAGGCCCGTTGTGTAGTCTTCCACCAATGCCGATTCCGCTTGAAGAACCAGGCGGGTGACCTACTTCGGAAAGCTACGAGGATAGCCACTTCGAGTGATGAGATCCTTTCCCAACTGGACGGCATGAAGTGTCTTGGCAATCACCCTCATGGTCACATCATTGGGGGAAAAGCTGTTTCAGAGCCCGCTGGCCACTATCCGTGGGCCCTCGCCAAGGCCCTGGTGGTTGGAATGGAAAAGCAATTTGAAGCTGACTTCAAAAGACCACACAACACCCTTGCCATCGAAGGCGGTGAGGAGGCTGAAGATGAGACCGCCCTGCCGATTGACATGAACCTGAGTGACTCTGATCAGGAGTCCACTGAAGCTGTCACTGGACCCAAGGTGTCAGCTGCTGTGAAGCAAGCTCTTCGACGCCTACATGAAAACACGGGCCACCGATCTGGCCGTCGCCTAGCCAGAGCACTGGCTATCACTGGTGCCCCTCCGGACATCATCCATGCTGCTCGTCACCTCAAATGCTCAATTTGCGACGAGCGGAAGATCCCAAAGGCCCGACGGCCTGCTACCTTGCCACTACCCAAGGATGTGGGCGACCAGGTCCATGTGGACCTCTTTGAGATTGAAGACATTGGCGAAAAGCGCTTCTATGTGATCCATGCCATTGACTATGTCTCCAGGCTGCAGTTTGCTGAAGTTTTGGAAACAAAAGGTTCGAGCATGGTGGAGCGCTTCTTCAAGACCAGGTGGCTACCCATCTTGGGAGCACCAAGAGTCCTGATAGCAGATCAGGGCAAAGAGTTCGTGTCTGCTGAGTTTGAAGAGTTCTGCAGTTCATGGAGCATCTACCTCCACCACACCGCGGTCCAAGCCCCTTGGCAGAATGGTGTATGTGAGCGCGGTGGCGCTATCCTGAAGGGCATTCTTCGTTCGTGCATCAAGGCTCATTCGGCCTTGGGAAAAGATGATGTTGAACTTTGTCTCCAGGAGGCAGTAAGCGCCTACAACTCGGACATCAACGACGCTGGTGTCTCTCCTATGCAAGCTGCCTTTGGAAAGCAACCCCGGATGCACGGAGATTGCCTTGGTGATTTTGGTCGCCGCTTGAGTGAGCATGGACTCATCGACTCTCGGCCAAGTTTGGCCAGACAAGTTGCCATGCGAGAGACTGCTCGCTTGGCGATGGTGCGCCTTCATTTTTCCAAAGGCCTTCGACGAGCTGAACTAGCCCGCTCTCGAGGACCGACGGCAGAGCATGGCCTATCTCCTGGAGATATCGTCTACTTCTTCAGGCAAACTCGGTTCAACAACCGAACAGCTGCATCCAAGAAACGCCTCAGTCTCAAGCGATGGCATGGCCCTGCCCTCCTCGTCGCTTTGGAGGGCAATGTGAATGGATATGTGAGTTTCAGAGGACAACTGACCAAGTGCGCCATTGAGCATTTGAGACCAGCCAGTTCCCTGGAACAAGTCGCGAGTGAGGTATGGCAAGATGCCATTCAGGAAGTCATCGATGCGGCGTACCATGATCGACAGATACCAACGACTTCCTCATCTACAACCACCTCGGCTGAACCCGAAGCACAGGGTGAACCAATGACGGGAGTGTCTCTACCTGTTGAACCTGTTCCTCTTTCGGCCGTACCTGAAGAAGCTCCTGCCGATCTACCACCTTTACATCCTCAAGAGTTTGTGCAAGCCCTCGGCAATGCTCAAGGTGGTCCTATCTCAAGAGGATGGTCTCGACATACTTCTTCTTTGCCAGACTTAGGTACATCTCCATTTCCTGAAGCTGTACGAGCTGCCTTTGAACAGAGACGGCAGAGCGTTTCCAGTGCCGCCCCAAGTGCTAGCGGCGAGTCACAAGCTTCCAAGAGGCCTGCTGAACTGGATGCTGAGCGCTTGCGTGAAGAAGCTCTTCAACCAGACCCTGTTGCTCCAACTCCGGCTCAACCTCAAGATGAAGTTCCTGATGAAGCTTCCGAAGCCCTGAGAGTGACTCATGAAGTGATGGAAATGGAAGCCTATGCCAATGTACATCCGCTCCGTCAGATCCAGATCATGGCGGAACAGGATCGTCTAAATCCCTTGGAAGCCAGAGTCCGAGACCATGGGACATGGCGTGGCAATTGGCCTCTCCCCTCGAGGACAGAATTCAAACGACGGCAAATGCTGAAGCAACTTTGGCCCCTTGGCAATGATGATGCTGCTCAGGAAGTGCTTGCAGTGCTCACTGCTCGTAAGGAGCATGTATGGAGTCACATGTCGGACTTTGAGAAAAAGGAGTTCCGTGAAGCAGCAGCCAAAGGATGGTCAGTATGGGTTGAAAATGAAGCCATCGAACCTCTTCCAGATGCCGAAGCTGCCCGCATTAGGCAGAAGTTGAAGACAGAAGGTGAAAGCCACCGCATCTTGGTTCCTCGCTTCGTCTATGTGGACAAGAATGACGGACTGAGGACGGCAGACCGGGACCTTCCACTCAAGGCCAACGCCAGACTGGTCGTCCCCGGATACCAAGACATTAGTGCATATGGCCTTCGTTGTGATGCTCCAACAGCGTCGAGAACTTCTCAGCATCTTTTGCTGACCTTTGCCGCCAGTATGAAGTGGAAGCTGGCAAGTGCTGACATCAAGTCAGCGTTCATGAAAGGTGAAGAGTTTGGCCCCAATGAACGCATCCTCTACCTCGCCAACGTGAAGACCAGAGCACCTGATGAGCCACGCCTACCATTCTCTGAAGCAGGCTTATGCCGTGTGAAAAAGGGAGTATTTGGTTTAGCTGACAGCCCTCGTCGTTGGTATAAGAGGTTATGCAAGTCAGTACAACACCATGGTTGGCAACTTTCAGCTCTGGATTCGGCCATGTGGTTCCTGTGGGAAGGCTCCAAATTGGAAGGCATCCTCATCTCCCACGTGGATGACTTGCTACTGGCCGGAGGCCCTCGTGCGCACCACACCTTGCAATTGCTGGGTGCCGAACTTGGGTTTGGTTCCACCTCCACCGTATTGTGGAAAGAAGATTGAGCAAGCTGAAGATTTTTCAGTGAAAGTTTCCATGGAAGAGTACCATAGCAATCTTCAGCAGGTGCGCATCAACCCACTTCGAAAGAAGAATCCAGAAGCTACTTTGATGCCTGGGGAACAACGCCAGCTCAGAGCTCTCCTTGGGAGTTTGCAGTGGCTGGTAGCGCAAGTTCGCTTTGACTTGCAATTTCAGTTGTCGACATTGCAGGGTGCTTCCCAGACCATCGAGACGTTGATCCGCGCCAACGCCTTAGTTAGAAAGGCAAAGCTCCACGCAGACTTCGCTCTGCACTTCAAGCCCTTGGACATGAAGAATGCTGGGATCCTCGTTGTTTCTGATGCCTCGCTTGGCAATGCGACGAAAAGCGGTAGTTCCCACGAAGCAGCCATCAAGAAGGTCTATAGTCAAGCCGCCTACTTTGTCCTCATTGCTGACGAAAACCTCATGAGCGGCAGAGAAGGCAAGTTCACAGTGTTGGACGCCCGGTCTCATAGACTGAACCGGGTATGCAGATCGACATTTGCCGCAGAGTTGCTGGGCATTGAGGAGGCGCTGGATGCCGGGCAATATTGCCGCGGCGTGCTTGGCGAAGCTTTCGGTCATCCACTCGACCGGAAGCCCTTTGCTAAGGATTCCGTGCCCCTGTTGGTTGTCACCGACGCCAAGGATGCATTCGACAAATCCTGCTCAGAAACGCCGAGCTATGGCAGCCAAAAGAGTTTAGCTTTCACCATAAGCTGGATTCGTTCAATGCTGGCTCGATGCAACACGAGCATGCGTTGGACAGCAACAGAGAACATGATCGTAGACTGCGGCACTAAGGAGCTTGACCCTCAACACCTTCACAAGATCCTGAGAGATTGCAAGTGGTGTGTACAGTTTTCCTCCCAGTACGTCAAACAGACGTCCAAAAGTAAGAAGCCCATGGCTAACTCACAACAGACCGGAAGGGTGGTGAGAAGTGACATGGGAGTCCCTTTTGAAAGCTCCTCCCCGTTGTTTGGCCATGTGATGAAGCTCTCACAGAGCTCAGGTTGGCATGTTTTGAATGAAGATTTGGCCGTCAACGTGTGCCGTCAGGCTCGTTCGTACAGGACCCCAGAGCCACGCTGTTCAAGAACGACACATGCGTTTCGTTCCACTTTTGCCCGCTTTGACAGCGAACATAGTGTGATTTGGCGACAGTTGGAAGACTCTGTCGACATGCGAGAGCTCCAGAATCCTCGATCGATGCTTGAGGAGCCTGTTGCTTTGCTCGTGACCGTGTTCAGCCGTTGCCCAACCCCTCAAATGCCACAAGAGAAGGGGATGAACTGTGAAAGTTGAGTTTGCTCTTCGGTGTTGGGAAGGCGGAGGAACATGGTTGTTCATGTTCGCTTGGATCAAGGCCTGAAGCCATTTCGTGCTGCGCCTTAGGTGAAAACGGCGCGCTGGCAGACGCTCTTGCTAGTGCGTCTACAACAAGCAAGTGGCCACTTCTCGTTGCACACCACACGTTTGAGCGCTCGACACGCACAATCTCCGCGGAGGGTTCGCTGCGGCTTTGCCAAACTTGCATTTCACCACACGCAGAGGATTCATCCCACCCAGAACCTGCATTTCCAGACATGTTTGAGAGCTCGAAATGCGTGATGCAGCGCAGTCGGAGTTTGCATCTCACCACGCGCTCGTGTACGATCTCCGTAGAGAGTCACGTTTGGCATGATTTTAATAAAGCAAGAGCCCAGCGAAAGTTATACTTGACTTTGCCATGATGTTACTTAAGCAACATCCCAGCAAAAATTATCCAAGCAAGATCCCACCACCAAAGCAACTCACCGAAAAAAGATCCCAGCACCAAAGCACTACTAGCGAAAGTTGATCCCGCACCAAAGCAATCCACCCAAGCAAGATCCCACCAAAGCAGCTCTCCAAAGCAAGATACCAGCACCAAAGCAGTTCTGGCGTAGCAGCAGCTCTACACAGCCATACCTGCAAGCTGCAGATGTACTTCTAGCATACCTATGTAGCACACATACAGCTGCAACTGTACAAGTTGCAAATGTATTTGCACATGTACTACCACCTCCCTAGAAGCAGGTCTAGAAGACCACGCATGCAAACTGCAGATGTACTTAAAGCATACATACCAATGTAGTTATGGTAGAAAACCACGCACGCCAGCTGCAGATGTAGCTTATAGTATACTTACAACATACATATCGATGCAGATGTGTTCTGCAAAAAACTTCTACAGAAGAACCCTTCGCAACGCCCCCAGGAAAAGATGGACACTGGGCCAATTCAAGAAGGCCCCTTTGAAGGGGGTCCTAAATGAAAAGAAACCCAGTCGTCCACCTTTTTTCGAATGGAATCAAAGCCGGACCTTCTTAAGAACAGCGTGAAACATGAAATTGCTTACCACACAACTCTGCTTGCCCCGAGTTCGTGGATATGAGAGCTTGCAATATAAAAACATTTGTGAATTTTCTCGGGTGCAGAACTTGATCTTTGAGTCGGGCCATCTCCACAGGTTAGCCACGAGATCTCAGAACTGCAAGGGCAGCCTGTTGCAAAGAGGATTCGTCTCCACAACATCAGCGCCACCGATGAGGCTCGAGGAGATTTACAAACAGCAACATTGTTTTGCAGATTTTTGTAGTTTTAAGTTGTGTTTCTTTTCATAACATTTGCTGGCACGAGTCTTGTGCGGGACTGACGATTTCATGTGACATGGGAGGTTTGGACTTGGCTGATCAATGGCTTTGTGCCACTTATCGCCGGCAGCGACGAAGAGCCTGGCATCGTGCGGAAATTTAATCAGGACAGTCTGGGCAGTTGGACAATTTGTGAATCCCCACTTTGGAACAAGAAGGGACCATAATTTGACTATAATGGAGAACTGCCGGTTGGGAAGCAGTTGCAGAAAGTAAACGGTTGCTGGACGCCGTGCCAAGTCTTTCCAAGTTTAAGCTAAACTGCTAACTTGTGCCCAGCCAATTGGGCAAGCATAGATATATATATATATGTTATAGAACCTGCCAAAGTTAACCTAAGCTGCCTGGGTTTTGAACTAGGTGAAAGATGATCCATTTTTTTAGCATGCCTAACTAGCTGAGTGGCGAGTCAGACGAAGCTTGGAGATAGGCAAGCGGCGAGTATAATTTGGAGTTGAATAGTGTTTTTTGTAACCGGTGTTGGGCTGTGCGGATCGTGAGTACCTTAAGCAATATGCTGGCTTAAGTGGTGAACTGATTTCAAGCTAGCTATGTAAGTGTTGTCACAACCACCATGACAAAGCAATATACTGCACCAAGGATAACGGCTGTTGTTCAGATGCGTCACCCGCAGGTCATCAGACCAGGAATCCAACTACGGCAAAAGCGCGTCTCAGGCCGAACAGTTTGGGTGCAATCGGATCTCAGATCAGTTCAGAGGGCAACGGGCGGCCTTCTGTATTGTCGCCGACTGCCGAAGCGTTGTCTGCTACGCAGTGCGTATTGTGCCTCCCAGGCGGCGATTGCCCTGTTGTGGAGGAGTTACGTGACTACTTCAGGCTGCCTGACAAATGTCACTGCTTAGCAACACCAACGGCCAACACGGAGCTGCCATTATTTCCACTCAACATGACTCCTATTTGGCATATATAAGTTTGCAGCCAAGACATGCGGAATCAACTTGAAGTGTACTTAGTGCAATCACTAATTGGGTCTTTCAAAGGGAAGGTCAACTGCAAAGCTGTGGGGCGGTGAGGCTGAAGTCAGAGTTCAGAAATTCACACAGCTATTTTTCAATCTCATTTATTTCTACTCTACTCAGCTCTCAGCTCTACTCTCAGCTCAACTCTTCGCCAGGGCCAAGTGTCGGACCTCGGAGAGGCTGCCAAGCCGATTTGGCCCGGAGGCGGGGGATGGTCCAACCGAGTACCCTTCCGATGCTAGCGCGCTTCAGTCACTCCGTATGCGAGCTGCTAGCGCTAGCTTCCTTTGGTGAAAGGATTGTGATTGTGCGAAGTAAAACGATACGGCAGGTGAACAAGACCGGCGATCCCATGGACCGGTCCTTTGTTGCTGGCGGTGGCATAGAGGCGTGTGCGCAAAGAGATGCGTCCTTGTTACTACTAGTAAGGCACCTGTTACTACTAGTAAGGCACTTGT